TTTTGAATAAAATCATTACTATTGAGAACATGATGATCTATATTTTTGTAGTAATTTTGTTAGCTCTAAAAATTTTGTACATGATTTAACATTTGTAAATGTAAAAAACTTGTAAATAATTAAATCATATATTGTTTATCTTGTATATAAATCTATGTTCATAATACGTTCATTAATTTCTGAACGAACCTATCGGTATTATTAACATGTACTATAAAACCCCATTATTAATTTAAATATAGATCAGTTGCCTTTGCTTTATAACGTTTAGACACGTATTATTTCTCGTGAAGAGAGCATCCAGTTCGAGAGCGAGTTGTATCTGAACGATACATACTAAAGAACACATAGACTGTCGTATCTGGATTGATACAGACTGAAGTATTATTGGTCGGATATTGAGTTAAAGAGCGAATTGTATCTGTACGATACATACTAAAGAATACATAGAGTGTTGTATCTCGAAAGTTAGAAACTAACGAATACAGAGGGTGTTGTATCTCGATAGATAGATACTAACGAATACAGAGAGTGTCGTATCTGGATTGATAGATACTGAGGAATACAGAGAGTGTTGTATCTGGATAGATAAATACTGACGAATACAGAAGGTGTTGCATCTCGATTGATATATATTAAAGAACACAGAGAGTATCTGGATTAATACTTACTTAAGCATAAAGAGAGTTGTATCAGAATTGTTTCCAACTTGAGAATATAGAAGGTCCTGGTACTTACTTAACAGAACTATTGGAGTAAAGCATTTGTTACATAAATAATGACATTAAGTTTCCAAAGTGCACTTTTTTGAGTTAAATTTTATTTTCTGAACAAATAGGATTTAATGAAATCCAGTAACATGGTTAATTTTATACCTATGTAAAGCAGAGTGGCGGAACAAACATATATTTTTATTATTTACTGCTGTAGCGATTGGGCTGGATTTTTTTGTGGACACTCATGGGTGTTCTAGGCTAAAAAAATTTAAAAATTTTTATATTTTTTTTAAATTAAAAAAAAATAAAATTCCACGGGCAACGCCTGGCCCTTCAGCTAGTATATTATATATATAATTATATATGAATTGAGTTGAACCCTTAACTGGTCGGTAAGTTTGCTGTCAAGTGACCCTCCATGCAAAGATGGAAATGCTAGATTCATAAAAGTACACTTGAAACCTTTATCTGATCAATAATGTGGAAGATATCGTCGTTTTCTAGGTTTGATAGTGTCTAATTCTGATCATTTCTGTATGAAGTTCTGTAGTAGAAATGCGCAAGTCCCTTTAAGTGAAACCACAGTTGAAAATAATTATTTATCAAAATTGTAAACATTGATATCTAATTCATACTTGATTCAACAAAGCTTTCAAGGGTACCTTTGTAATTCGGACATTGCCGTTGTTGCACGGAGGGTCATTTTAAATTACGCTTACAGTACCTTTAAGCGAATTTTAAATTTGTTTTTGTAAAACAATCACGCGTTAACTTGAGTTAAATAAAATGAATTTAATATCTTAACCCTCATAAAATTTTGGTATATGTACCTCATAGCGTAGACAATAATCTTATACAATGTTAGAATCAAAGAACAGAATGATAGAAATAGATAAAAGGGGAAGCGATTTTTTTATAAAGAAATTGAGTCTTTGCCACAAACTCAAATTATAGGTCACAACATAGGGTTGCAAAGATATAGAGATTAAAGACTCAATTCCTAAGTTTAAGAGTTATTTTATAGATTTACTAGGAGAATTCTTTATTCCAGAGTGAAAACACTTTGATAACAAACACAGAGACAAAATACAGATCAAAAATATAATTTTAGCAATAAAACAAAAAACGGGGAAAAGTCCATTCAGTAAATAAAAAAACCATAAATGGTCCTACAGTATGATGGGCATCGTTTTAACGTATTTTGACGTTTTTTTGACGTTAAAAGTGTTTTACAAAAAATGTGAGCTATTAATAAATTGCAAAATTTTTTTTCTCAAGTTTTAATTACTTCATGCGATATTTATTCTCTGATCAAAAATATAAACCAAAACGATTTTTCAAACCGAAAAACGAAAAACGATTTTCTAAACGTTTTGAAAAATCGTTTGGTTCATATATTTGGTCGGGATAAAAATTTAATATCATAATGTAATAAAAATAAACTTATCTTGGAAATAAGTCTAAAACTTTGAATATTTTAAAACGCTCCCCTCCAGTACAACTCCTATACCATATCATACCAATCCATGAGAAATGTGCATAATATATTTTGTACACTGCATATTTTGGTTTGTTAAATGCGCAAGCAATGCAATGCACACCTTTTAAATGCATTGGTTTCTCTTTGCCAAGTCTAATTCATCATTGCTGCACTTACTGTAGATTTAGATCTTTGTTAATGCAAGAACTGAAGTTGACAACAGCATTTTTTACATAAGCAGAACCAAGGTACCTTGAGCAGAACGTGATGGATAATGGATTATGTGGCGGGGGTGCGTGCATGTATGTATGTACTGTACAGTGGCGGGGGTGCGTG